AAGTGGAAACCAGGGGTGAGCCTTGTTGGAAGGAGAACTGGAGGGCCCTTCATCCCCCACCCCACCCCCTTCCTTCCTTCCTTTGATTCTATCGCTGCTTCTCTTTCAGCCAACCCTTCTGCCAACTGGCTGCACGCTCGCTCTTCCCGGAAAAAGCGCTGTCCCTACACCAAATACCAGACGCTGGAGCTAGAGAAGGAGTTTCTGTTCAATATGTACCTCACCAGGGACCGTAGGCACGAAGTGGCCAGACTCCTCAATCTGAGTGAGAGACAAGTCAAAATCTGGTTTCAGAACCGTCGGATGAAAATGAAGAAAATGAATAAGGAACAGGGCAAAGAGTAAAGATTCTCCCCCCCACACACTTCCCACCCCTTTCCCCCCTCACGCTTATTTATGAGTGACGGCTGCAAAGCCAGTGCTGTCTGGGATACAGTCAAGTGAGTGGGGAAGGGACTCCTTCTCCTCAAAGTCCTCTCCTGCCATCCAGAGCCTCTCTCCTTGGCTCTTACCAGCCCTCTTCTCCCTGGATCTCAGGAGAAAGTTTTGTTAATTTAGAAGCTAGATGTAGTTGGTTGCTAAGAAGGGGATGGGCCACGAGGAAAGGAAGACCCTAGTCCTGCCCCTAGCAGTCCCCTCTGATGTTTGTGGGAAGCCCCAGCCCCTGGCTTCCAGCCTTCCAGTCTCCCCCACACCTACCCCAAAGTCACCGAGGGACACCCCAACTGCAAAGAGCCCACCAGACGCCCGCATGCGTACAGCCTGGAGCCCGCAGCAGTGCAAGGGGGGAGCTCCCAGCCAACGCTCCAATGAGGTGACCTCCCAAGTGCACCTCAGATCTGTTAGAACAGCCGGCAGACCATCAGGCGAGATCCTGTCCCTGATGCACACACACAGCAAGACGTCTAGGGACACACCTCGGAGTGAGGCATTGCAGCCCAAAGGGCTGACCACCCCAACACCGACCCCACAGAACCCTCCACTCCACCCCGCCCTACCCCAGGGCCAAGGGTATGATAAACGCAGCCCCCAAGTGGGTGAGCTAGAAAGGGCAAGGAAAGGCAGCGGCGGTCTTAGGAAGGTATCTTAGGTTTTATGAAGGTATTCCACACACACACACACACCACACACACGTGTGGTTGCAGGATCTGTCTAATTCTGCATGTCGTTTTCCTCTCCTCCCAACAAAAGGAGGTCAGCTCGTGGGTCGTAAGCCTTGAGAGTGTTGTCCATCTGTTCATCCGCGCCCCGCTTGACTGAGACTGTAGCTTCTCTCGCTCCCCACCGGCCCCTGCATTCTTCCGCATCCTCCCGGCTCTGAAATCATCTCTGTTCGGTCGGATCCACCTTGCACCAGCGAGTCAAGCCGCCCCTTGTAGAAAACCCCTCCGCCCTCCGTCCCCTGCTAGGTCGACCCCGCCACAGGCGAGAAAGCCAGGGTAGCAGAGTCCCATGGAGAATTTATTGAGAATCGATTCCCGAACTCCCTTCCCGGGTAAGTTATAGGGGAGAGGGGGAGCGAGGCCTCCGGCGAGTGGCATTAGAGGCGTGTTCCTCCCCACCCCGCCCACGTCCGGAGGAACCCCCGGCCTGGCGGCCGCCCGCCCCAGCGCAGGAGGAGCAGGGCCCCAGCGCCCATCTTTGCTTCCGGCGACGCGGGCCTGGATGGCGATCTGCGCGGCTGCTGAGCGCACGCTTCTGGGGAACAGTCCCGCGTGCAGAGGAAAGAGGCGGAATGGCACCTAATCATCATCGCGCCGAAGCTCACCCTCTGCTCCCCTTCCGCCCCCTTGCTCCCCCACCTCTCCAGCCCCTTTCAATTCCATGGACTCTTGCTTCTGCGTCTCCCGCCCCTGCAAGGGGACATTCCAGTAGAACTTTTTGGCTTTGTCGGTGGCTGTCGTGAAATTGTGCTGTGTTTTGTGATTTCTTTGGGGGGGGGGGGTGATCGTCTCGCCTGTCTTCAGTTGTCGCTTATGTAGGAGGGTGGTGGGTGGGAACGGGGAGGGGAAGGGGCCTAGAGCTCTGATTGTTTTTGGAAGAAAAAAAAATGAGAAAAACAACAAAAATATATATCACTCTAGAAAACAAATCTCTCCTGTGTCTTATTCTGTGTTGGCTCTCCTCGCCCAGCCAGGGGCAGAGATCCTAGTTCCGAGGGGGTTAGTGTGAGGAGAAAAAGAGAGGCCCCTGTGCCCAGGACGTTTCTCCTTAGACCTTGCAGAGCGGGCTTCCTGGGGAGCTGATGGAGCAGAGCCTTCCGGCAGGAGAGCTGGGCGCCTGGAGGCGGAGGAAAGGGAAGATGAGCAGTTGGGAAGGGGGTCTGCTTTTGCTTCCTCTGAAGTTGCGCTGTGGGGGGGGGGTCTCCCCACAGACTCGAGAGGCAGAGGGAAGGCAGGGCCGGCCGTGCAGCTCCGGGTAGCAGTTACTCTCTCCGGGGCAGAGAGAGGAGGCCAAGGGCGTCACCTTGGTTTGCCCACTTTAAAGTACCACGCAAGCAAGGAGGGCAGTAACTTCTTTTCTGCTGTTCCCCACAGCAGGGCAACCGGGTAGGCAGAGGCCTCCAGAAGGCTGCGCTGTCCTTTCCTCCATCCGAAGGAGCCCCACCTGGAATCTGAGGCGCCAGTTTGAGCCAAAGGAAGCTGCCTTGGTTTAAAGCGGGTGGAGGTGGGTAGGGGTGGAGGCTTGGGAAGGCCGCTCCCAAAGGTGGAAAGAGAGGGTTGAATGTGGCACAGCATCGCCTCAGGAGAAAAACCCCCTTTCCAGCTGGAGCCCAGAGCTACCCTCTGTTGAGGGAGGCACCTCTCTGGCCCTGTCAGACTCTGGTGTCCCCACTCGAGTTCCTTGGAAGATGGCTGTTCTCAGGCAGCTCTGCCCTTTCCATCCAGGCTTTGGGATTTGGCTTCTGCCGGGCTGGCGCTTGGGAGCCCGCTTCCCACCCCCTGGAGACTCCCACGCTGCCACCCCAGCGCGGCCTGCAAGGACCCTGCGGTCCGGGCAGAGGTAGGGACAAAGTATAACCTGTAACCCGGATGAAAGGATCCTGGAAGTGAAAAGGCCAGGCCTACCCCTCTCCAGCGAACAAAAGGATGTACTAATCAGAGACCGAGCCGGAGCTGGAGAAAGTGGAGCTCCAGGATGTGGTGGGGCCTGGCACCCCATCCTCCGAGGGTTCCATTCCGGGTGGAAAAGGAATCTGGCTTTAGAGCTTGTGTGGACTCGTCTTCCTCCACCGCCCGGGCTCCCTGGAGCCAGCCGGGGCTGCGAGTGGCGGAGAAGGCCGGGTTCAGCCCAGAGGAAAGGCAAAGACCGAGGCTGGGACCAGACGCAGTGCTGCAGGGTAGGGCGTGAGGGCGCGGGAGAGGAAAGCCTCCAGCGGCGTCTGGGCCCTTAGCCGTGGTGGCTGCTTTAAAGACAAACAAAGGCGAAGATGCGGAGGCTGGGAAGCCGGAGATGGGGAAATCTGTTGTCATAAAAGAGAGCGAAATAGTCAGGGAGGAAGACCGAGAGAGTGCGAGACAGAGAAGCCGGGAGAGGAATTCAATGCCGTGTGCGCAGCAATAAAAGAATATGACCGCTATAAAAGTTTATAGCGTATAAATTTCTGAAGGTTAAGAAACTAAACAGCAGCAAAGCAAACAGTGAGGGGAAACTTTCTGAGCTGGGAGAGCCGCAGCTGGGTCTGGGCTCGGGCCTGGGGGGTGGGGGGCTGTCACAGCCCCCACCTTCAACGTCCAGTAACTGGGCTTGGGGTTTCCGGGGGCCCCAGGGCGCAAAGAGAGGAGAAGAGGGAACGGGGACAGAAAACACTTTGTTGTCGCAAATGTCTTAGAGAACGCAATCGGGACTCTTGTCTTTGTTCTTCACACCCCCTCCAGAATCGGACGTCATAAAGAAGACACCCCCCCCGCGCGCACGCACACTCACAGTCACACACACACACACACACACACACACTCAGGTCCGGCGGGGCCAGACGTCTGGGCGCGGGCAACCGCCTGGTCCTTTTCCAGCCCCACTGCACCCTGTCAGGCTTCCTCTCCACCCCCCACTAAAAAGCCCGATTGTTTCTCCTCAGAATTTGAAACAAATCGTATTCGTTTGAAAAGGGCTCGGCTCCCCCTTTTACCGGCCCGAAACGGCGCACTGCTTGGAGGTCTCCGCCAGAACTTGGGGTCTTGAAATGGGGAGCAGAAGAGCGGGAAAAAAAGCTCAGGCTTTTTTTTTTTTTTTCCCTTCCCACCCCCTCAACCTTTTTATTTTTTAAAGCTTATCTTCACGATTGTATGAACCATTTCCTGACTTTCGATGCATTTTCTCTCGCCTGCTCTTGTTTCCCTCTCCCTTTTCTGCCAATAGCGAAAGTTTCTCCCCGCTTGTCGCCGGGGTGGCCGGCTCCCAGGGAAACTGGCGGAGTCGGGGGCGGCGGCGCCTTTTCTCAGGACGACCGCTAGATGGCAGCCTTGCTCCACGCGAAAATCCCGGGAGCGGCGGCTGCGGGCGCCGGCGGCTGCAAGTCGCACCTTGGTCGGCCCTGAATCTACGAACTGAGCGCTACCAGAAGTCATGAATAATTTGCGCGTAATAAAAATAGAAGCTTCATTATGGCTGTTTCCCCCATTTTATAGATTTCAGATGTGCTCGTATTGCTCCCCTCTCCTCAAATGGTCAATTTTCTGAATTTCCCCCAGGAGGAGGGCTCAGCGCTTCTTATCCACCCAGTTTCTGTGTTCGGTGGGGCAACAAATGCCTAAGGACGGGGAATAATAGTAATAGTAGTAGCAATAATAATAATAATAATAATAATAACAACAATAATAGGAATAATGGGTCTAAATGAAAGAGGAGAATTGGTTCGGGGGAAGTGAGAGTTTTCCGGGGAGGGGGCAGCAGGGACGCCCGCGGGTGCGGGCGAGCCAGTCAGGTGAACGGGGAGAACCGGCAGGAAAAGGTCAGAGGAAGAGGAAGCTGCGGGGAACCTCCTGCCCGAGTCGGCGGCAGGAGAGGGAGCCGGGTGAGCCAGCCTGGGGGTGGGGCGGGGGTGGGGGCAGTTTTGGGGGAGATGGATCCGTGGCTCCGGTGGGGGTTGGAGGCGCCCGGAGTCGGCGGCGGGGCGCGCAGCGCAAGAGCCTTTGTAAGTGTCGGGGTCGGGGCTGGGCGCGCGTCGAGGGGGGGTGGGGGGGGGACCCGGGCGCGGGGCAGGGCCTCCCCCGGAACGGCGAGGTGCAGGAAAGCTCCGGGGTTTCTTGGGGGGGTTCTGTGCGCCCCGAGTTGGGCCGCGGAAAACTTGCGCGGTTTGCAGCAGCGTGGAGGGGCAGAAGCGGCGGCCGGGAGCTGGAGCTCGGTTTTCCCTGCGGTCCGCGCCATCTCCAGGTGTGCGCTCGGGCTCGGTGCGCAAACGTGAGCTGCACGGCTCCCTTCCCAATTTAGCAGCTGGAGGCCTGGGCTTCGGGAGTTTTTCGTTCTGAGACCCGTGCGCCGCCTGCCCATAGCCCCCTGGATTCCACATGTGTTTCCTCCTGGCCCAGTCCCGTCCGGGCCCGCTGTCGGGACAAGCCTGAGCGAGAAACAGATGCCCCCCGCCTTAAAACCAGCCCGGCCGCAGCCTCCCCTCTTTTCCCCTAGGAGCAGGTGCGAAGAGGCCGGCGGAGTTTCTCCAGTTGAGTTTCTCTAATAAATCTGCGCTCCGTTGGGTGTTTATAAATTATCTCCTCGCTCTTTCTTGTTTTTCCTTATAATAGAAACATTTTCCTTCCATCAGGAATTTCTGGCACGGTGTAGGGATGATTTAGAACCAGCCATTGAATTTCTGCCTCACCGGTGAGTCCTCAAATGATGACCATAAAATCCGCCGCACTTGATAAAAATGTTCGCTTCGGCAACAACTTAACTCGCCCTTCCACTGCCTCGCCGCCCTCTTGGTCCGGGGCCGGGGGCTCGAGACCTCCCCCTCCTTTTCTCCTGTCTCCCCCTGTCAGCCCTCTCCCATTCTTCACGTTCACTTTTGAAGGGCCAAGTGGCCGCAATGGTAACCTCCCCTTAGAATGGCGATGGTTTCATTTTTACAAAGGTTGGGGTGAATCCGATCCCCAAAAAGCACTCCTCTCAATACAGGGCAAACCTCTCCCCTAACTGAACCATTAATTGAATGTATTTGGAAAACCTCCACTTTTGTTGCTAGAAATTTTCTCTTCGTTCTCTCCCTTCCTCCTTTCTTTTCTCTCCTTCCTTTGGCCAGTGAGCTCCTTCCGGAGACTGTTGGCTCAGACCCTCAGACCAGGGCCTTCTGAAGCCTAGTCACCATTGTCACTAGGCCTGATAGGCCGGAAAAGGCCACCGGCCTGAGAACATGGCACCCAGTCAGTTCGAAACTGCAGTCCGTGTCAGCCCCAGGGACTCAGGTCTGGAGGGAGAGCTCAGGGGGAGGAGGGAGAAAATGGGGTGCCCAGTGGCCTTGCTGCATCCCTATCCCCTCTACCCCAAGGTCAGTTTAGGCAGTGACAATGGCTCGAAGGACACTGAGAGCTAAAAGGTGTCCCCTTCTTACACCCCATACAGCCACTGGCTAGGGCAGAGGAGGGCACAGGACAGCGTGCAGCCAGGCCGGGTGCCAGGGCCTTGGTGCCCAGCAGTGGCCCCTTTTTCCCTTTGATGTGCGGGCGGTTTAGCCGTGCCCTCTCACCCTTGGATGCTGAAGCCTGGCCTGGGAAGGCTGGGAGGCCACTGGGCTTGGTTACTGGGTCCCAAGGCCTGGGTGCAGAGGTGGGGCAGCCCAACTGGCTGTCACCCTGCTGGTGGCATCAGGCCCCTCTCCCATCACACAAAGTTGGCCCCCCAAAGTGCTGACTGGGGCCCAAGTGCCTTCTAGAGACCTCCTCCCCACTCCAGCACTCCCCCAAATGAGGCTGTGCAACACTGCAAAACCCTCAGTTGCAAGGGGCAACTTTGCTCAGTGCTTCACCACTGCCCATTAACCAGAAAGTTTCTTCTCCCCGCCCAGGTCCCTCCTCAAGCCCTCCCAGACCCCTTCTCCAAAGAAAACCTGCGCTTGTTTGTTTAATAGGGGAACGCTGGTGAGTGGCCTGGGTGGGGCAGAGAGGGGGTGGCTTGGGGGCTGCAGAGACCGGGTGGGACAGGTGCTGTCACAGCTGAGGAGGCAAAAAATCTCGGGAAAGTCACCGTTTGCGCCGAAAAAACCCATAATCGTTTTCATTTCGGCTTCGTCACCCCCACCGTGCTGCAGCCGGGCGGCGGGGGCGATCGAAGCTGCAGTTTTATAGCTGTAGAGGAAAGAACTCGTAAAATGCTAACAGCTTTTATGCGCTGCGGCATAAACAACAACAGACTCCAGCTTTATTGCGTTTTATAGTTTGTTAAAGAGTTTACAGCCGTTTTTTGGGGGGGGGCCGGTTACCCAGCCAATTCCCTCTACAGGATAGTTAAACCTTTATCAATAATAAGGAAATTGATCATTAAAGCTTTAAATATGACTACCTCGTTTGTTTGAAAATATGTTTAGGAGAGGAAGCTGTATGATTTGATAACTTGTATTAAAATACCAATTACATTTATAGGACCTTTTAAAACTCGGCGCAATTAAACCGTGTTCTTTTACATTTTTCCGAAGCGACCCTGACATTTAAAAAGACTCCAACTGCCTCGTTAAAATCACGAAATTAACAGCGTGCTTACGCCTGGCGCGTTGTGTCTGTGTGTGTGCGTGGTTTTTTCCGTGACTCCCCCACATCAGTCTTTGGGGGTGGTCTGCGAAGGTATTTGATTTGTTGTGAGGCGAGAGATATCTCATTAATGTAGGTAGTTAAACAGATTTAATCCGTATTCATTCTCTCTCACCCCCTCTCCTCTCCCCCTCTCTCTCCCCCTCTCTCTCTCCCTGGGTGTGTGTGTTTTTTTTTTCTTCCCCTCCTTTTTTTCCCCCCTCGCTCTCTCCTCACTCCCTGGCGCTCTCTCGCTCTAGCTCTCTCTCTCGCTCGCTCTCTCTCGCTCGCACCCTCGCTCTGCGTTCTGTCCGGGAGGAGTACGGAGAAGCCAATAGGATGCGGGGTCTCTAATGGATGCAAATGATCATGAAAAGACAGTGCAAAATATGAAACAACTCATTTGCAGGGAAGTAAATCACCGAAAACTGTTTATGAACTGGCATCCTTTCTTCGAAATGTAAAGCGAGGACCTCTTTAAGTGGCGGTATATTTTTGTTTGGGGGGTGGGGGGTGGGGGGAGGGCGAGCGAGCCGCGGCTGCCATGCAAGCTTAGACTTTCCGAGGCTTCGCTGTCCTTTTCTATTCCTGGAAATCACAAAAAGTGTGGTGGCTTCGAGATCTTCTTCGCCTTTTCTTTCTTTTCTTTCTTTTTTTTTTTTTTCCTCCTCCCTTTCCCTCTCCTTTCCTGGCGAGGGTGACTAGGAGCCGGCGAATCCGCGTTTTTTTTCTCTCTCTCCCTCCCTTTCCCCCTCCCCACCCCCTCCCCAACAGCCCCCAACTACAGCCGCCGCCGCCGCCGCCGCTTCAAAATTCAATAAAATGAGCTCTTATTTCGTCAACTCACTGTTCTCCAAATACAAAACCGGGGAGTCCCTGCGCCCCAATTATTATGACTGCGGCTTCGCCCAGGACCTGGGCGGCCGACCCACCGTGGTGTACGGTCCCAGCAGCGGCGGCAGCTTCCAGCACCCGTCGCAAATCCAGGAGTTCTACCACGGGCCGTCGTCGCTGTCCACGGCTCCCTACCAGCAAAACCCGTGCGCCGTGGCGTGCCACGGGGACCCAGGCAACTTCTACGGCTACGACCCGCTGCAGCGGCAGAGCCTGTTTGGTGCGCAGGATCCAGACCTGGTGCAGTACGCCGACTGCAAGCTCGCCGCCGCCAGCGGCCTGGGCGAGGAGGCCGAGGGGTCCGAGCAGAGCCCGTCGCCCACCCAGCTCTTCCCCTGGATGCGCCCGCAAGGTGAGCTCGCCGCGGGGCGGGAGGGAGACCTGAGGGCCCAAGGCGGGCCACGGGGCCGGACAGGCCGGGGCGCATTTCCTCCAGCTCCTGCTGGACCTGCCTGTTCCGTTCAGATGGCCTCCCTCTTCTTCGCTTCCTTCCTTCCTTCCTTCCTTTTTTTCTTTCTTCCTTTCTTTTCTTTCTTTTTTTTTTTTTGTTCCCCTTGAAGGAGGGTCTCTAAGAGACATTTCCTGAATCCATAAACCCCTCACCCCGCCTGACTTTTCTTCTTCTCCCCCTCCTCTTCCCCCCTTTTACTGTTTTATGGGGGGTAGTGGAGAAAGGGTGGTGGGAGTGGGGGCGCTCAACTTCTGCACTTCTCAATTGCTTTATAGTTTAATTACCCTGAAGAAACTTTTCTTCTGGGGCAGAGGCTCTGGGGGCTTTTCAAGGTGGGTCCATTCGTTCCCATCCCGGCTTTTTTATTCTTATTTTCCCCCTCCTTCACATCCTTCCTTCTAAAGTTTATGGCACTTTTAATAGATTTGAACCACCCCTACCCCACTCTCTGGGGCTTGTTACCGGGGGAGAGGGCTTCCCCTTCTGGTTCCCTTAAATTCAGTGGTGTCTGATCCCCCTCACCACCAACCCCCCCCCCGCCCCCGCTGACCGCGGCCTCCTAGCGCCCCCTCCCCCGCGCGCGGGTAGAAGGTCTCTTCTGCCCTTATTATACTGGTCTCCAAGGCTGGTTCACGAATCTTCCAACCTTCTCCGTCTCCGTCCCCTCCCCCACCCTCCCCTCCCTCTGTCTCGCCCTTTCCCCCATTCCCAGCAGCCGCCGGACGCAGGCGAGGCCGACAGACCTACAGCCGCTACCAGACCCTGGAGCTGGAGAAGGAGTTCCTATTTAATCCCTATCTGACTCGCAAGCGGCGGATCGAGGTATCGCATGCGCTGGGACTGACAGAGAGACAGGTCAAAATCTGGTTCCAGAACCGGAGGATGAAGTGGAAAAAGGAAAACAACAAAGACAAGTTCCCCAGCAGCAAATGTGAGCAGGAGGAGCTGGAGAAGCAGAAGCTGGAGAGGGCCCCAGAGGCGGCGGAGGAGGGCGACGCGCAGAAGGGCGACAAGAAGTAGGCTCCAAGTGGGACTGCCAGGGCCGCGGCGGCCCTCCGTCCGCCGGCCCCCGGGCCGCGCCGCCACCGCCACCACCGCCCGCCCCCACCCGAGAGAGCTCCGGCCCCGCGAGCGGGGCCCGGAGCCTGGCCTCCCACCGCAGCGTCCCCACCGCGCCAGTCCCCGCTAGTGGTAGTATCTCGTAATAGCTTCTGTGTGTGAGCTACCGTGGATTTCCTTCCCTTCTCTCGGGGGTCGTGGGGAGAGACAAGGATTGTAAGCAAGGACTCCCTCGCCCAGCGAGGGTGAGCGGCTGCGGCTTGGCTGAGCCCCCGCCCCCGCCCCCGCCCCCTGTAAAAAGCCTCCTTGTGCAATGGTCTCTTTTCCTTTGAACGTGCTTCTTTGTAATGACCGAGGTACCGATTTTTGCTAAGTTCTCCCAACAACATGAAACTGCCTATTCACGCCGTAATTCTTTCTGTCTCCCTCTCTCTCTCTCTCTCTCTCTCTCTCTCTCTCTCTCTCTCTCTCTCTTTCCCCCTCCTCATTTTCTCCTCCCTCCCCTCTCTCCCTGTTGCCCTGCCTAGCTCGCTGGCTTTCTCTCTTGCTTCTCTCTTTTTCCTCCCCACCTTTTTGGTTTGACAGTTTTGTCTTAAGTGTTTCTCAAAAGAGGTTACTTTAGTTAGCATGCGCGCTGTGGGCAATTGTTAAAAGTGTTCTTAGGTTTACTGTGAAGAGAATGTATCCTGTATCCGTGAATTGCTTTATTGGGGGGAGGGAGGGCTAATTATATATTTTGTTGTTTCTCTATACTTTGTTCTGTTGTCTGCGCCTGAAAAGGGCGGAAGAGTTACAATAAAGTTTACAAGCGAGAACCCGAGGCTGGCCGGGCCCGCGCTCCTCATTTGCTCCCGGCGCCTTGCAGAGCTGTGGGAAGCCGGTCACCGGCCTCCTGCGCCCGCCAGGCCGGGCCGGGCCGTGCGGTGCGGAGGAGGGGGCGGGGGCTGGAGGCAGGTGGTGCGAGTCCCTTGGCTCAGGGGCGCAAGGGGTGAGGGAGGCGGCTGCGCGTGATTGGAGGAGAGAGGAGCCAGGGAGGGGAGCCAAGAGAAGCCCCCACCCTTCGCGTTCCGAGGCTGCGTGGCCCTGGAGACCCCGAGACCTGGCCACGCTGGAGAGACGCGCTTGGACTGGTGGCTCTGTCCTCACCACCTTCCTCTTTTGTTTCTGTGTGCCCTCTCCTGTGTGTGTGTGTGTGTGTGTGTGTGTGTGTGTGTGTGTGTGTGTGTGTGTGTGTGTGGTGGGGAGGGAGGTGGAGGGCAGGGCTGCTAAACCAAGCGTATATGTATTTTATTTTTCCCGGACTCTGGTGGGGGGAGCGGGAGGAGAGGAGCGTTGTTCTTCCCTGCCTCTCCCTCGCTGGGACCGGCCACCGAGGCCCCGCTCCCCGGCGTGTGGCTCGCCGCCTTCCTTCCTTCGCCCCCTTCGCCTCTCCAGCGAGGCATCCGCCTCCCGGAACCAGAAGAGCAGCCTACCGAGCCGCCCTCCTCCCTTCCTTTCTCTTCCCACCCACCCCACCCCCTTCCTTTTTTTTTTTTTTTTGTTTAATTTTTAAGCCACCAGAAACCGCGGCATGCAACGCCCGTGGGCTGGGTCCCGCGCCTCTAGGACACCCACGAAGCCTGGCTCCTTCCCTGCCGGTGTGTCTGGGGCACCGAGGGCGAGCCTGGCGCCAGGCTCACCTCGGTCCTCACCTGAGAGGCCCCGGCTGAGTTGCCCCAAAGGCCCAGCCAAGCCGAACTGGTCTCGATTAATAAAGATCTGACCTGCACACGCACCCGTCCGCCCCGTGGCGTGCGACCCCTGAGTTCGTTTCTCGCTGGGTAACGGGCTGGGGGGGGGGCGACAACATGGGTCGCTCGGAGGCTATCTATTTTCTTCTCCACTCAAACCCTTCCTCTCCAAATCTCGCCTGCAAGCTGCCTCCAGCCCACGGGGGTGGACGGCGGCCCTTGAGCCCCCGGCCCCAATCCACAGGGCTTGGCTTCCCCATTCATTATTGATCATATTTTATAAATCCAACGCCACACAATTTTTTCCACATTACCGGGAGCCGTGGGGAGGCTGCCCATCTATTGGCGGAGGGGAAGTCACGTGGGAGGGGGTCACGTGGTCCAAAGAGGAAAAAGGGGGTCCTTTTTGGTGTAAATCTGGACTCTAATTCTGTAATATATCAAGGAATCTCGTAAAACCGACACTAAAACGTCCCTGCCTACAAATCATCCGGCCAAATTATGAGTTCATTGTATTATGCGAATGCTTTATTTTCTAAATATCCAGCCGCAAGTTCGGTTTTCGCCACCGGAGCCTTCCCCGAACAAACTTCTTGTGCGTTTGCTTCCAACCCCCCGCGCCCGGGCTATGGAGCGGGGTCGGGCGCCTCCTTCGCGGCCTCGATGCAGGGCTTGTACCCCGGCGGGGGGGGCATGGCGGGCCAGAGCGCAGCCGGCGTCTACGCGGCCGGCTACGGGCTCGAGCCGAGTTCCTTCAACATGCACTGCGCACCCTTTGAGCAGAACCTCTCCGGGGTGTGTCCCGGCGACCCCGCCAAGGCGGCGGGCGCCAAGGAGCAGAGGGACTCGGACTTGGCGGCCGAGAGTAACTTCCGGATCTACCCCTGGATGCGAAGCTCAGGTAACGCCGCGCACCGAGCCGTCCCGAGCCGCAGCGGCCCGGGCACACTCCCCGGAGGGCGCCCCCTTTCCGGTCAACTGCCCCATTCCACGTCCACAGTGCGCCCGGCAGGCGGTGGGCCCTGGGGACGCGGCACCCCCTTGACCGCGACCCGGCGCTCGGCCTCCACCCCCCTTTTTGCTCGGTGCTCTTAGGCTCGCTCTGCTTCCCGGCGGATCCCTCTCTGCCGACGCCGCGGCGCTCCGAGCCCCCAGCTCACCCCCCACTCTTCCTCCCGGCCTTTTAGCTTTAAATATTTATCAGCCAGGCCGGCACGGGCTGGAGACGAGGCCGTTTGTCTTGCGGAGGAAGGCTGGGGTTTGCAGAGAATAGCCATTAAGGTCCTCCCCTCCCCTCTCCCTTACCCCGCTGGGGATCTCGGCTCTGGGTGTTGTCCCCCAGTCCCAGCTTTGATAAGGTCTAGAGGAGGGGGCTGCAGCACTGAGCAATTCTTCCCTCCCCCTTCCTTCCCAGCCAACCCTGCTCCCCCATTATTCCCTTCTGGACAATTAGAGGTGGGCTCTAGAGGCCTGGCAGGAGGAGGGGGCATGAGAGATGAGGATTCAGTCTGGGACACAGAGGCAGTGAGGCAGGTGGAAAGAGGGGGCGCGCTGAGGCTGAGAGAGAGGAGGCTCCTGACCCCCCAGTGAACTTGGGAAGAGGGCAGCAGGAGAACTAGAGAAAAGGGCAGAGGCCGCATGGAAATACCTCTGGCTTCCTTGGGTGCCCTTCCTGGGGCTCCTAAGCATCCTGGAGACCTGGCCAACAAGTTGGCGGGTATTATTCCAGAAGAGTGAATGTCCTCTTGGGGGAGGCACTAGGACTTTATGGAGCCAAAGCAAGAGTTAGAAAGTATAGACCACTGGGCCAGTTGCTGCAGGAACCCCAAGAGACCAGGTGTCCATGGGGTTTCCTGACACATCTTTCCCAGACAGCCGTCTCAATGCTGCCCTAGACTCAGGGCCAACTCCCAGGTTCAGAAGGCCCAAGACTTGTGCTCCAGCCAGGGTTGAAGGCCAGGAGAAGTCCAGCTCTTACACCATCAGTACTGGTGGTCACGGTCTCCATTACCTGCTCCGCAATTCAGCTGCCTTTCCAGCTGATGTATCAAAGCCCAAATTTTTCTGCTCATAAACATTTCAACTTGGCTTTTATCTGACTTGAAATTAGGGCCCCCAGTCCCTCCTCCCACAGGCTACCTCCCTGGAGGGCTGGCACCAGCACCTCCTCCAGTAAACTGCCCCCCAAGTCCCCTCAAGGTTTGGGGCCTAACCTGGGAAGCTTTCATCTGCCCCTTGGCCCCCACCACCTGGATACTTTATGTTCCGCCCCACCTCAGGCTGCTGTCTGTACTCTCCTCCTGCGCCTTCCTGGAGGCCCATGGGTTGCTTTGGAGAGCTGGGCTGTCTGGGCAGGTGGGCAGGTGGGCCGGTGGGCAGGCGGGAGAGCCTGGCCCTGTCAACGCCTCAGCCACTCACTGGAAAACAGGCATCAGAGGGCAGCTGCTCTCAGACAAACTCCATGCTCCAAGGAAATCTGCAAATTCTCACCAGCTCCTCATTCCACAACAGGCTGGGGGGAGGGAGGGAGGAGAAGGACTGGACCTGTGAGGGTCCTTTGTCTCTTTTCTGGGGGGGTGGGGGGTGGGGAGGATAAACAACTCAGGCCAGACCTAGAGCCTTACTTACTTCAGGGTCACTTGCATGGTTCCTATTGTCCCTACCTCAAAGACCATCAGAGCCTGCATCCAAGAGGGGAGGCTTGGGGTCCCTGGTCCTGAGGGTGACCGAAGGATTAAGATCCCTGCATTCCACATTACACCCTTAGGTGCTGGCCCTTTAACAGCCAGCAGTTTAGATGTTGGGTTCAGAAGCTCTAGGCTGGAAGACTTCTTGGCTGGAAAATGGCAACATTTGCCTCTAGAAACCTGTAAAAGTGTGCAGGGGCATGGCTGGGGCATGGAAAGGGAAAATTTGGTTTAGTGGGAACATGGACCCTTCCAACTTCTGATTTCAAATCACACACAGGGCCTAAGAGAGAGATAGGAACTCTCGTGGCTTTTTTCCTCACGCACTGATTTTTTTTTTCTCTCTCTCTCTCTAAACACTGGGCACAGGAACCGACCGTAAGCGAGGCCGCCAGACCTACACGCGCTACCAGACCCTGGAGCTGGAGAAGGAGTTCCACTACAACCGCTACCTGACGCGGCGGCGGCGCATCGAGATCGCGCACGCGCTCTGCCTGACTGAGCGGCAGATCAAGATCTGGTTCCAGAACCGCCGCATGAAGTGGAAAAAGGAGAACAAGACCGCAGGCCCCGGCGCCACGGAGCAGGACAAGGCAGAGGCGGAGGAGGACGAGGAGGAGTGAGGGGTGGAGAAAGGGCAGAAGAGGAAAGAGATGAGAAAGGGAGAGAGGAGGAAGCCCAGCTCTGGGAACCGAACCAGGAAACTCCACTCAAATAGGGGAAAACTCTGCTTCAGTGAAAAGCAGTTCAATTTTTTTTTTTTGTAAGGAGAGCAAGTGAAATTTTGTTTTCTTAACACTGAAAAAAAAATAACTACCTATAGAAAAGTCTTGCCGGGGGTTTTGTTTTGTACAATATGGGAAGGACGTCTACCTGTCCTATAGCTTTCTGGAATCTGCCTCCCTTTTCTATGTCGCTATTGTCAGGTCTTTGTAAAACTTTGCTGTTTTGTAAGCCCCCTTCTTTGACGCTATCTTTTGTGGTCTGTGGGTCTGGACTAAGGTGTGTCGTTCCCTTGCCCTCCTGAGCCACCCCCCCCCCACCCCCTGCCCTTCCCAGTAGCTGCACTGAAGGGGCCTTAGGGAGCCCGGAAGACCCACTGAGTCCCTTGTCCTCTCTACGCACCTGCCCTGCCCGATGCTCCTCGCTCCTCCCATCCCGTTGTCCTCTTTACATCTTGTGTGTATCTGAAGAATGCAGAAATAAAACACAATTAAAAAACAAGCAAACAGATGCTCTGTTTTCTGGGAAAGGGTGAGGGCCAGCCATGCGTCCCAGCACCCCTCTGTCGTGGCCTCTGCCGCGGGCCCACTTCTGTACCGGGGTCTGCCCTTGTTCATGGTGCCCCTGCGCTGGGGGGTGCCAGCCAGTGAGCCCTGACATCTCACACACATTCCCTTTTTATTTTTTTTTACACATAGCGACATACACAGATGCACACAACCACACACATTTACAGGCTGGTGTCACACATACACACACACGGTCACCTACAGTCACAAAGAGACACTCACAGTCATGTATTCACAAATCCACGCACAGGCACTCACGCGTCCCAACTGCACGCCCAGACACATGCATTCACATTCACACTCACTCACAGACACAGTAATACATGGCCACGTACATTCACGCACTGGTTTACAAACACACAGGCTCCCCTGTGCGGCCCCCAAGTAAACACATCGGGGAGCCCGCATGTTCAACCACACGCATCCACAGAACAGAACAAAAGTAAACCCTTCCGCTTCCACAAACTTCCTCACCGAGGCCTCCAAGCCAGACTGGCGCGGAGGCCGTGCCTCCAGCGCACACACAGCCGGATGCAAAGCGCTGGGCCTCAGACACAGGACGAGCAGAGGGAAAGGGAAGATGACCACCCGAACCCACTGGGGTTCTTGGGCGCGCCGGGCCCAGGCCAGGCCGGCAGCGGAGACCCGGAGAGGCCTCCGACGCCAGGGCGCTCCTGGCGCCCCGCTCGCTCGGCAAATACTTTCCGCAAGAGCTATTCGGTTATTTTATTTCCATTTATTTTGTTTCATTTATTTTAATATAATATTCTAATTCAACACAGTGACCCAAACAAAACTTTAAAATGGGGAAGGGGACAGCCGAGCCGCGAGAACGCGAACCCGAGCGGTGCGAGTTTACCCGCTGGTGCGGCCGCGTCCGGGCGCCCGGAGCCTGCCGCGCCGCCCGCCCCGCTCCGCCGGCTTCCTCCGCGCCCTTCGCCCCGTTCCCGGCGCTGCCAGCCACCTGGAATCTTCTCCGGAGCACAGAGAAAGAGAGAGAAAAAAGAAAAACATTTTGGGAGAAGTTATTTCGTTTCTAAATGTGGGCGCTAGTAGCTCCATTCAAAACACCGGAGTATTTCAGGGGGGCTGGGAAACACGAGGTGAATTTTGTTGTCCTTGTGGTTGCTTTTGCCCCCCCCAAACACCCCCTAATTGAGGCACAGAACCCCGGAGGTTGGCGTCTACGCAGCTAGACCTGCAGAGCTGATTTTTAGTATTTATTCCATGATAAACCCTAGATGACTTAAATTTAAAGAACAGTATTCGGACAGACAGGAGAAAGAGGATCGGAAGGGAAACACGTTTTAGAATCGGTTTGACTCGAGTTCGTAAGTAAAAGGCCCCTAAACGTGCAGTTTCCCCTGTGGATAACCGCAGAACCCCCTGAGAGCACAGGGAGTTGTCACGGGGACCCCGAGCAGGCGGGCATTTGGGCGGCAGAGGCTGGGATCCCGCTTTAGCCTCCTCCAATTTCTGGGGTGCGGAGGCGAGAATCCCGCTGCTGCACTGTCTGTCTTGGCCTCCATCAGGGCCTCCTTACCTCCTTGGGGGAAAGCTAAGCCCTAGGGAACCTTCAGCCCCCACACCCGCAAAGCCCTACGCTTCACAGGTGGGGGTCCCGCCATCAATAGGGCTAAGAACGAGAGGGGCGTTCAGAGGAGGAGGGGGGCACGGAAGCTTTCTTTTTGCCTTGATGCGAGTGGCAGCTCTGAACACCAGCTGCTGCCCCGGACTCACCCCAAAATTGCCTTGGAACAGATCCTGTGCGGGGCACTGGGGGTAATTTTTTACTAGAAGAGAGGGCAGAGCTCCTGTGAGAACAGGGAGGTTCCCAAAAGAACCCCCTTTCCAAGCTGGGCCCTTCAACCTGATGGCCTGCACCCCAAATCTCACTCCTTTTCAGACTGGGGTTTCCCCAAAAAGCGAGGAGGAGAAGAAAAGAAGATGGCGACTGAGAAAAGGGTTGCTGGTGGAGCAGCCATGAAGAAATGCAATAAATTCCTTGTTGTTTTATGAAAATTTACAACTTTGTGATAGAAGTTTATGAGTGGTTGAATCCAGCGATTGGCCGGCGCCGGTCATGTGGCCGGGCGATCGTGAACATGAACTTTTTATCATTTCCCTGGTGGTTATAATGCAGCATTCTTTTGGACACCACACCTAGGTCGGAGCACTGTCGTCCTTCAGGGCTCCAGCCTCTTGATATTTTTATACTTCAGTATCAGTTTGATAAAGCAAAAGAGAGAGAGAGAGAGAGAGGAAGAGAGAGGGGGAGAAGAAAGAAGAGAGAGAGAGAGGGGGCAGGAGGGGTGGGAATTACACAAAAGACAGAACCAAAAATAATTTAAATTCCTAAGTTAATTTCTTTGCTGAGCTGGGATTTTAGTCATCATGGAGGGCAAATGGACAATCTGCCCAGGACTGCAGCCTGATACCATTTTTCAAAGCCAGAACTTACTTCATTTTCTATGCAAATACCAGAAAAGCGAAACACCCTCTCTCCCAAGTCGGAGAAGGGGAAGCGACGGCTCTCAGGTTGGGACAATATTATATGGAAGATGGAGCAGAAACCGAACGCTCTTTTACTCCCCCCCCTCCTTCCTCCCCACCCCTTTCAATCGGAGGAAAGAAACCTCAAGGTCTGCAAAGGTAAGGGAGATTCTACAATTCTCTTCTTATTATTTTGCCTCGATTTTTGTAGGTGGGGCTTCGGTTTGTCTCCCCCCTCCCCTGTCCGAGACAGGGCTGAACCCCACCTCTGGGTGCTACAGGGAGAGGCTTCCCAGGAAATTCGGTGGCAGAGAGAAGGGTGGCCGCTTCCTGGAGGGGGAGCCGAGGCAGGGAAGATGGGAGGAGGAACCGAAAGAGGCCACGGACGGAAAGAGGCCGCAGTCGCCTGTAAGCTGGGAGGAGAGGCTCAAGCGAGGGGGTCGCCAAAGGGAGGATGGGGGTGTCTGAGCTTCGGGGCACCCGCAGAAGCCGGTTGCTGCGGCCTCGGTGGATTTGTGCCCCACCCCCTCCCACCCATCCCTCCCTCCCTCCCTCCCTCGTTTCCGCCTCCCCCAATTGCCCCCCGTGTTGTTCTCTTGCCCGGTTCAGGTATCGGCAGTTTCCCGGCTGCATTGGCATGAGGGGCGGTGGCCTGAGGGACGTCCTGGTCTCTGGAGGGCCTGGAATCTCCAAAGAGGCCAGCGAGGGCTAGGAGGCGGCTAGAGAGAGACAGAAAGAACAATTTACAGAGAAATGCTCATTTACCTCCCTACGGAGACATTTCTGAAATTAAAGGGCTGTAAGTGGAGGCACCCAGATCGAGGGACACCCCCAGGAAGCCTGCCCGACAATGCCCAGGTCTCTCGCCACTCCCACAGGAGGGAGCGTCGCTCTGCAGGGAGACAATTTTGTGGTTTTTAATGCGGTAGGTCACAGTGTGTTGGTTTCTGTGCAATATTGATTCTATTACAGTACTTGTGTTTTATTGGTGTGTGTGGGGGGGTGTGGATTTCCGCGGAGAAAATTGCCATGTGTGTGTCTGATGTTGAAACATTTCGAACTTTCCTGCGTCCAAACCTGGTGATTGTGAAGAAGCTGTTTAGTGTGTTGTTGTTTTAGGCTTGTAAACAAATCCAAAAAAGAGAAGAAAATGAAAAGAGAGCCCAATTAGGGGACCTAATGGTGTCAGGACTAGAAAGCTGCCTAGCGCTGAGCTTAGAAAACTAGTCCTATCCCTCCGGCGCCTGATTTCATTGCCCAGGCAGGCCTCCTAGGGGGTGGGGGGTGGGGAACCTTTGGGCTAGAGACCCAGATTCCTCAAGTAGCTGGTGGGATGGAAGAAGGCGCAGCCTCTAGGTGAGGAATTAAAAATAGAGCAAGAGGGCTTCTGAGGAAGCTGCAAACCAAGAGATAAGCGACTTTGGGAGCGGAGGGCAGGAGAGGCTGAATTAGTTCGGTTTGCACAACTAGGTGATTGCTTTTCTCTTCTTAAAGCCCAGACGCAGAAGCGTGTAGCCTCAGGCCTCTGGTTGCCTAGGGATTGCAGGGTCTGGGGGCTGTGTAAGGGGATATTGGCCCTCTCAATTCTGAGCTAGGAAGAGAAGGACTCAGCCACTTGTGGCGCGGGAGGGGGCCCGTGGAGGCCCAAGTAGGTGCCCTCCCAGCAGGCCGGGACTGGGTGCCTGGAGGGACCCCTCGCTGAGCGCAGCCAGAGAAGTTCTCGGTCAGCACCCAGGGCACTTGGAGCCCAGTCTCAAAGGGAAAATTCCCCAAACCCACCCAGACTAAAGGTCTTTTTCTCCTGTAGCCTCGGCAGGGTATAAATCATCCCTTAGACAGTTTGCTGTGTGACCCAAATTATGCGGTTTGCTGCCATCTACCGTCCGTTTGGAGACATGCGGTTTCGTCGCCGCGAGCCGGGCGACTCGCCGCCTGGATGGTGCCCGACGCCTGGAGCCTGGACGCTCAGGTTTGGCGGGATTCGTGGGACTCCGGGCCCAGATTGTTGCTTTCCGCCGAATCCCGGTCCCCGCGCGCCTGTGTGTGGATTAGCGAACAAGTGTCCCCTCCTGCTCGCCCGCTCCATCCTGGCTCCAACCCTGGTGGCTGGCCCGGACAGCGGCTTTTCCTAGGGCGTGTTGAAAGAGGACTAGTAACTGCATCCCGCGGGCAGAGGGCCCCGGACGCGCGAGCCTCCGCCCCCCACCGCGAGCGCGAGAGGGGATCGTCCGGGCCGCTCGCGGGATCCGAGGCCAAGGCTGTTCAAGGTTTATTTGGTTTTCTTTTCGGCCAAGGGAGGGGCTGGCGGAGGAGGCGCCGGCCGGGCAGTTCCACTCGGTTGTCAAAAGACAACCGGGCCAGTGTTCTGCCGGTGTGCCGGTGGGTCCTGCCAGTGCCTCGGCCGGAGGGTCCGTGGCGGAGGCACCGGGCCTAATTCTCCGGAAGCTGTTGGTGTCTGCAAGTGAGTGCGGGCTCTCCCTTGCTCCCGATCGTTTCGAGCGAAATGGACAGATACGCTTTGGAGGAAAGCCGGGAGTGGGAGTGAAGAGCGCTCATTAAGGAATCACCCCGTTGTGATCTCCGTCCCTGCCGTACCCCTCACACCCGCTGAACCGGACCGCCTTCCCAGAAGGGGTGGCGAGGGCGGGGGTCCGCGCCTCTGCCGCCGCGTTTGAATATTGGCCCCAGCCTCACGGGTTACTGATTAGCTCGGGCTTTCAAGCCGCTGGAGGAAGCTCTGGCCATTCCTTTCAAGGTGCTGTGGCCCCGGTTCCTGGGCGGGGGCTCCAGGAAATTGCCTATGGTGCCAGGCAGGCCGAGGTGTTACTAGGGTCTGGCCTGGAGCTGCAAGAGCTGCGGAGGTCGTGCGGCCCCGCCGTTCTGAGAGCAAACACCAGGGCTGCCGCCCCCCCCACCCCCACCCCCCGCCCTGCGCGCCTTTGGCGCCTCAGGAGTCTGAGCCTGGGCCGCAGGGGCAACCCTTTCAGCTACTCCGCAGCGAGAGTGACTTTCCTGCGGTTAGAAGGCCCGGCCCCGCGCGGAAGGCCCCGAGGGAGCGCGCCCCGAAAGTATTGGGCCCCTCGAGGATTTTTCTTGTAGGCAATCTAAAGGATAGGTAGGGAAGGGAAGGCGTTTAGTACAGAGGGTTAAAACACTTCAGGGCTCTTAGGGTGCTGGTGGACCTGGGGGGAGGGAACTGGGACAGCCAGCTGAGTGCCTAAGCCTTCCCCACCTCCAGATCCGAGACAAGGTCGTTCATTTGCATGATGGAAATGAGGTCTTTGTACCGAGCTCCGGACTGGCCCATTTTAAGGCCCTGTCCCATATAAGCAGCTCCCAAAGACTGGGGGCCACCACATGACTCCCTCTGGGGACATTTATGTTTCCCAAATCCAGAGAATCGGAATTGGGTAGACATCTTCATTTGCCACACCCCAGCCAGAGTTGGAAGTGGGGTGGGGGAAGGTGCCTATGACCCAAAGAGCTGGGGCTGGGGTGGGGGGGGGGATTTGTAGCTGAGAGGAAGGAGGAAGCCTGGACAACGTCTCAGCCTCCCCTCCCCTCCCCTCCACATGCAAACAGGCACATAGCCCTCCCTGAGGTAGGTGGTGGAGGAGAATTTTCCTCCTGAGCTGAGCACAACTGAGACACTTCCCTGGGAGCTGGAACGTGTGTCCGTCCGCAGGGCTGCAGATTCCCAGCACAGAAAACTACAGTTACAAATCCTGCCTGTGGGCTTTCTGAGCGATCCCTGTGTTGTGCACTCAAGAACGGGTGCACCCAATTCATATCCACCTCTCCATACACGTGCTTCCTCGCTGAGGCAGGAGGGGCACCCCAGAGGGGCAGACGGCGGTGCCTGCCGTGTATTTACATATTCCCCCCTTGGAGACAGACAGACAGACGCGGCAGTGGATGGAACCACAGACAGATTCGTAGAGATCTGGCTCCAGAAACCAGGCGGCCTCTGGCCCAGCTCTGCCTGCCTGCTCTTTCTCCCAAACAAACGGATCAGAGGAATAAACGCTCATAAATACCTCTGGGCTTAGATAAGAGCGATGAGGCGCTATTTCCTTTCATGCTGGACTACAGGCGCCCAGGCCCTGCCTTTGCGGCTCCATCTCGTGACCACAGGCAACCTGCAGAGGTGAGGTTAATTTGGGGCTGTGACTCTAAGGATAAGGCGATTATTTTCCTGCTTCTATCACAGGGGAATCTTACTTTGTGCAGACTCCACAGGCAAGCCCATACAGTCCCCGGATGGAGACTCTGTGGCCGGGGAGGGCCAGGGATGTCTGAAGCCCAAGGCCCAGCCTCAGTGGCAGGGAGGGGGGCGGTGCACACACAGGCACTGCCCCACCCTGCTCACCTTGCCCAAACGCTCCTCACGCTCCTGTGGGAATGGGCCCAGTCACAGTTAGATTGGAGCATTTATGATTCCCCATCGTTAGGAGGCTTGAGTTTACTTTTCTTAAAAGATTTAACGACTGTTTCATCTTAAAAGATGAAAAGACTGTAGAGTCTGGCTGGGAAGGGATGGCCCCTCGGCCATGAAGGGGCAGCCCAGAAGTTATCCCGAGTTCAGGAAGCCTTGTAGGCCACTGTGCAGCCAGCCAAGTTCCCACCCTTAGTCACCAGCCCCAGTCCCTACCACTTTCCCGTGTGTCTTTCACCATCTGTCGTGGGCAGAGCTGGCCCACAGAAAGAAGCCCAAAGGGCAAAGGAGAGAGGAGGCTCAGCCTGTCCCCTTCATCAGATTTTGCCCCACACCCAGGCCCATTCCCAGCTCAGGTCCCAGGGTTGTCACTCTTTGCTGCCTGGCCTCCACGTGCACATCAGAATGGTGGAAACACATTGCAGCTCAGTCCTCCAACCTGGCTTCAATGTTCATTTTCTTTAGACGAGAGAGCCAGAGACACCCACTCTTGCTCACACTCAAGCTTGGGAGGCAGCAAAGCCGGTGATACAAAAAAGGGACGGGGGTGGGAGGGGACTGTACAGATGCTGAGAGAGACAGAGTGGTGAGCATCTGGAGAGGGGATTCAGGCTGATAGTTGTGAGCTGCCTGCTGAGTCCCCAGGAGAACCCCAACACCCCTCCCTCATCCAACTAAACTAAAATCGAGTCTCAGGAAATCATGCATTTTTAAAAGAACCCTGCCAGCTTCTGGAGAGACTTAGAAGAGGTGCGAAGTCCTCTCTCTTCCTGATGTTTCTGATCACCTCAAGTATCAGGAGGGTTTGAGGACCCTAAATTGGAGGAAGATCAATTTCTTTCCTATACCCACTTTCCGAGACAACCTTGATTCCTGAGAATCTGTAGCCCAGGATATTCTTCTGTCTTTGTGGGTAGGCGCTGGGGGTGAAGGTGGCAGGCAGGATAGGGATCAGACACACCTAGGCTGGGGGAATGCCCCTCACACCTCCTCTCCTTGTCCCCAAGCGAGGAGAGGGCTAGTCCCTGTCCCCAGTGCCCCTTCCCACGCCGAGAGCGAGCGGGGCACGCTCGAACCAGGTGAGAGAGCTGGGGGAGCAGCAGGCACAGCCCTCGGAGAAGCTCCTAGCCTGGCTGCAGAGCCAGAGGGAGAAGCTTGGGCTCAGACACTCCTCCCATTTCCCGGCCTTCCGTGTCCCCTGGGCAGCAGGCTGTGACCTTACTCTCAGACCACGAGAGTTGTGGAGAAGCAGAAATAATAATCCGGGACTTGGAGGAGACAGAATAGACCTAAGAAATGGGGGGAAATGGTTTCCCAAACCTGGGAAGGAGACAGTTTCTTCTTCGCCTCTCTCTTTCCGAAAACGATGCTAGTTAGCAGAGAACTCTTCTCCGCTTCAACCAACACAAAACCCTAGAAATAATCCTTCCCCTTTGGTTCTCCCCTAGCCTGATTAAGATTCGAGAGATTCAGGGATGGGTAGCCACCCTTCCTTTCAGGGAATGGGGCTCAAGCAACGCAGGGGTTAACTTTTCTGAAAACACAATTAACTTTTTCCTATCCTGCGTGGAAAAGGAGGGATATATTTATTTAATCACTGGGGGATGGGGTGGTGTCAATTCAAAGCTCCCTCCTCCCTCAAAGGCACAGACGCCTTTTTCGCAGATCCTACGTAGGTGGAACAGGACGGGTCGTGTTGTTGGTTGGGGGTGGGGGGGGGGAAGAAAGGAGAAGGGAAGAAGGAGGGGGAAAAAAGGTTGATAGGTTTGTGCGCGGGTCCCTCGTGCGGGCTGCGCTCCTCCTGGGTGCTATTTGACAATTCCTGCCTCTGCCATTGGTCAGTGTTGGATCAGATGGTTGTATTTCCTTCTGGCCCTCACTGGCACCTCGCCATCCCCCCTCAGCTAAAACCCAATCTCAGATATACTACTAATAGGCGCGGCGCTCGGACTATAAAACACAACAAATCATAAACCCGGCGGAGCAGCAGCGGCCGTGCGCGCCTCCCTCCCAATGAGTTCCTATTTCGTGAACTCCACCTTCCCCGTCACTCTGGCCAGCGGGCAGGAGTCCTTCCTGGGCCAGCTACCGCTCTACTCCTCCGGCTATGCGGACCCGCTGAGACACTACCCCGCGCCCTACGGGCCCGGGCCCGGCCAGGACAAGGGCTTCGCCGCCTCCTCCTATTACCCGCCAGCGGGCGGCGGCTACGGCCGAGCGGCGCCCTGCGACTACGGCCCGGCACCGGCCTTCTACCGCGAGAAGGAGTCGGCCTGCGCGCTCTCGGGCGCCGACGAGCCGCCCCCCTTCCACCCCGAGCCGCGGAAGTCCGACTGTGCGCAGGACAAGAGCGTGTTTGGCGAGCCAGAGGAGCAGAAGTGCTCCACGCCCGTCTACCCGTGGATGCAGCGGATGAATTCATGCAACAGTGAGTGAGACTCCGTCGTTGCCGTGAAGCTTGCGGGCACCCACCTGGGGAGACGGAACTACTGAGCCCCCATTCTCTCACGGGGTACGGGCTGGGCATCTTAGTTAGGATCCAAGGGGAGACGGGGCGCCGCACAGGGTCTGCTGCTCTGTCCTTATGCCCTCGGGAGTTACAAAGTTTGCAAAGTCCCAGCCACACTCTGAGCCAGGGAGGCGAATGGGCTCTCTGGAGCACCAGGCCAGATCCGGGATCTCGGGTCAGGGGTCGCAGCCAAGGGCTTGGCTTTCCCTTGCACCCCTCTCCTGGTCGGGTTCCCCACCCCAAGGCTGTTCCACTAAAACCCGAGTGCGTCACGGGAAGGGGGGCGCCGTGACGCTGGCAAGGGAGAGTGGAGTCTGCCCCCGGACTGTGTTTCCCTGGGGGTCGGGGGCTGGGGAAAGATGTGGCACCAGGAAAGGGGTCGCAGTCAGAAGAGGGAGGGAGAATTAGAAGTAGGAAGAGGGGGGAGCGGGCGGAGGGGAGAGCCGGAGAACCAGGCGCCTGGGTCTCAGGTTGGATTATTTGTCGGCCTTAAGTCCCAAATTGATGTCCATTAGCGGGACACGAGAGTGAGAGCCGTTAATGCCGACTATGGATCGATCCACGTCATTACGGATTAAGGGCTGGAATCTATCACACGGTGGTGGGGGAGCCACATGTATGGGGGGAAAAATTGCAGCTAGGAAGAAACACACCTGGTCGGTACTTCCCCAGCCCCTCCCCCTAGGCTCAGGTGGGATTTTAAACTGCTCCTCCCATCCCCCCACCGAGAGTCTAGACTGGAGGCGCAAGCCGAGGAGGCCCGGAGGGAATCTGGAGGGGGCGCTGCAGGGAACAAGAAAGTAGAGGCTGGAGTCCATGTTTGAGGGTCGAGTGAGGAAGGGGGCTCTGACCCTGGTGACCCCAGGCCTCAGCATCTCCTCTCTGCGTAACAGGTTCCTCCTTTGGGCCCAGCGGCCGACGCGGCCGCCAGACCTACACGCGCTACCAGACCCTGGAGCTGGAGAAGGAGTTCCACTACAACCGCTACCTGACGCGGCGGCGGCGCATCGAGATCGCGCACGCCCTGTGTCTGACCGAGCGCCAGATCAAGATCTGGTTCCAGAACCGGCGCATGAAGTGGAAAAAGGAGAGCAAACTGCTCAGCGCATCTCAGCTCAGTGCGGAGGAGGAGGAAGAAAAACCAGCGGAGTGAAGGCGCTGGAAAGGGAGGGGGGACGCGAAGGGAGAGGCCCGTGGGGAGCTGAGGGCATCGAGGAGCTCGAGGAGGCTCTGCGGGCGGGCGGGGGAGCCCGGGGACCTGCTCCTCCGCACAAGACAGGCGGGGCCCAGCGCTCTCCTGAACGCCCCCATCCGCAGAGCTCTCGCTGGGCGTTGGAAGGCCGTGCCGCCTGAGGCCACCCAGCACTCCTCGCGCCCCCTCCATCCCCGCGGAACCCGCCTCAGCCAGATCAGGCTCCCCCGCGTGAGAACTAAGGACTGGACTCACTTGATGTTTCCTGGAAGCAGAGCAAAACACTCTTGTCCGTGTCGCGTCTCATTTCGTCCATGTCCCCCGTGCACGGTTCAATGGCAGCTTCGCAGTCCCCTCAGCGGGGGCCTCGAAGACTCCCTGACCCCAGACCTCTCTCCCACCCCCTCCTGAAAGCCACTGGAAGGAGCACACACTACCTAGAAGTAAGAAGAGGAGCCTGAGAAGAAAACAAAGTTCTATTTTATTAATTTTCTATGTGTTGTGTTTGTAGTCTTCTTGTCTTAGCTCTGGACGTGAAATACTGCGGTAATAATATTAATATTATTAATAATGATGATGATGATGATAATAAAGATGTAAAAACTCGCCGCACAGTCACCTCTGCTCCTCCCTGCCACTCCCCACCCCCCGCCACCGCCCCGCGGTCTCTGTGCCGGAAACTCCGCTGCGGAGCCTGGAGCCTGGCGGGCCCCAGCCGGCATGACGTGACCTCGGAAGTTACGGTCGAGATAAAGGCTGGCGCGGTCCTTCTCAGTCTCAAGAGCTGCGCCTCGGCTGTGCTGAGGCTCGGAATGGCCTCTCTAGGCTCAGACTTGGGAGACAGAGAAGGGCCGTTTCCCCCGTATTCTCTAGCTTTCGCTCGTTTGTCTGTGGCACGAGGGACACCGCCGAGGCCCCCTAGCCCGAGCCCTTGCAGAGACGGAGCCAAGAGGGTCTGGCACCTGAGCAGCGCTTTTCGGTCCTCCTGCTTGCTGAGGCCGTGGCTTTGGCCTGCCCACGCGGCCTGGTCTCTGCTGGCCTTGGCCCTCTGCTCCTGGCCTGTGGCTCCGGAGACCAAATCAGGGTCGCGGGATATCTCTCCGCCCTCAGCTGAAAGCTCCAGGCGCCTTTTCCTGCCTCAAGTAGGAGTTCAGCGACAAGTAGGGGAATGCGAAGCCATCAGCGGTCGCCGGCTGAAGGGCACGACTTTCTCCTCCTTGGAGACCTGAGGGCAGGAGGCCAGGTTATAGGAGTTTGGTCTCACCCCCTCTACAAAAAAAAAAAACAAAAAAACGATCCATTCTCTCGTACCCCCACCCTCACGCGGGCGACAAGTTGCACGCTGTTTTCCTTTCTTCCTCCTTCTCTCTCCCTTTTTTATTTTTAAAGAAAATAGCTGTTCAGCAGAAGGGGCCCAGCTGCGGCGGCCTCCAGCCGCCCAGCGCGCTCAGCATGGCACCGCCGGTCCTCAGAACCCCTTCCCAGGGAAGGTATGGGCTGCCGGGCGCATTCAGAAACTACCCAGGCGCCAGCGAGGGGCTTCGAGCGGGGCCTCCCGGTGCAACAGCGGGCATCTGGCGAGGCGGCTAAAGACTCCCGCCTTGGTCCCGTGCTCTCGAAATCACGTTTTCACCCAGACCCCAGACGCGATGCGGTCGCCGCCACCGGTTTCCCTACAACTAGGCCGCTTAGCACCAGCCAAGCTCTGCCTCTGGGGTCCCTGTCCTTCTCTGCTATTCCCCAGGCTGGGCTAAGAATAAGGAGGAGGTTAGGAAACAGATTCCAAACTTCTAAAAGACACAGGAGAAGCGAAAGTTTTTCCTTCGAACCCACAGGCCGGCCCTGTCTGCTGGGCCTGAGCGCTGTGGAAGGGCCCCTGCAGCCCCTTAGGAACCAGGAGAGGCCGAGGGGGTGCGGGGAGCGGTTGGAAACCTCCGTGTCAATCACTGTTTTTCACACATATCTTCCAACCCTCTCCCCCATTTCTGCCCCCAACTCGGATGTTTGCAAAACGCGAGTAAGGGAAAAGCAACTCAACGATCCTCTCAGTTAGAGTTAAAAATGGTAAGGACAGGGAGAAGAATGCAAATAGAGAGAAGTCACTACACTCCCAAGAAAGCGAGGAAAGGCTCAACCGGGTCCCTCCTGCGAAGACTCAACCTTGCGGGTGACTCTAGGCCAGGTTTCTTTCTCTCCCGGCGTTTGCCGGGAGCCAGCAGGGAGGCAGCCTTCGCCGCCATGGCGGTCTGCGGCCCGCGCTCCCGACGATTGCCGGGAGGTGGCGCGCTCTGCTCAGAGGCCGCCGCCAACCTTCTCCCCGTTTCTCCCCCTTCTTTTTCCCCCTCTCTCGGAGGCTCGCATTGAATCGGCCCTAACGATTCTCGGATCGTCATTATTTGTAACCATAGAGCATGAATTACCTCTTGAGGTCATCAGCGAGAATTTACGACTGGTCAACAAAAGCACGTGATTCCCTAACGCCCCCCCATCCCCCTTTCAACCCCCCCCCATATTTGGCCGCATACATAGCAAAACGAAGTACAGTGCATCGCTATAATTCATTAATACATCATAAATCGTGAAGCACAGGGTTATAACGACCACGATCCACAAATCAAGCCCTCCAAAATCACCCAAATGAGCTCGTACTTTGTAAACTCCTTCTCGGGGCGTTATCCAAATGGCCCGGACTATCAGTTGCTAAATTATGGCAGTGGCAGCTCTCTGAGCGGCTCTTACAGGGATCCCGCTGCCATGCACACCGGCTCTTACGGCTACAATTACAATGGGATGGACCTCAGCGTCAACCGCTCCTCGGCCTCCTCCAGCCACTTTGGGGCGGTGGGCGAGAGCTCGCGCGCCTTCCCCGCGCCCGCCCAGGAGCCCCGCTTCAGGCCAGCGGCGTCGAGCTGCTCCCTGTCCTCGCCTGAGTCCCTGCCCTGCACCAACGGCGACAGCCACGGCGCCAAGCCCTCTGCCTCGTCCCCCTCCGACCAGGCGACCCCGGCCAGCTCCAGCGCCAATTTCACCGAAATAGACGAGGCCAGCGCGTCCTCGGAGCCCGAGGAAGCGGCGAGCCAGCTAAACAGCCCGAGCCTGGCTCGGGCGCAACCAGAGCCCATGGCCACCTCCACAGCCGCGCCCGAGGGGCAGACTCCGCAGATATTCCCCTGGATGAGGAAGCTTCACATCAGCCATGGTAATGCTCGCTCTCTCCCTTTTTTGTCTTCTCGGTGTTCCTTCTCTGCGTTGGGGCGGGGGGGCAAGGAGAGCTTGGCTTTTCCTCGAATATAGATATTTTTTTTTTCTAGAGGGACTCTAAGAGAGTCCTTACAGCTCAGGGGACAGAGCCAAAGAAGCCCTTTAGCTGCGGGGGGGGTGGTGTTGGGGAGTATTATTTTTAAGTAATTTGTTCCCAGGCTCGGCTTAGGTTTTATTCGCCCAGCTGCACTGGCTTTGGGATGGAGGATAAGGTTTATGTAAGGTGGGGAAGGGTCTTGCTTACCCCCGGAATTCTGAGACTACCGCTAGCAAAGGAGGGGCGAGCCAAGGAAATTTCCAGGGCAAAAGTGCAGCCGCTCTCCTCCCTCCCGGGGGCCAGCGGCCGCCTGAGCCCAGCCAAGGGTGAGGCACAGGAGGGAGCCAGAGACAAAGCCGGGCGCTTCGCTGCCGGCAGAAGTGGGGGCTGCAGGAGAAGGGGGTGCAGGAAGGGAGCTTGGATGCGGGGCGTCTGGAGTGGGGAGGATTGGAGCTGCGGCGAGCTGGAGGCCGGGGATGCCTGGGTCCTGCTCCACGCCCCCCTCCCACCCAGTGCCCCCTCCCTTAACCGGAATAACGTTGCTTCGCGGCTCTCCTCTGTCTGCTCCAGATATGACCGGGCCAGACGGAAAAAGGGCCCGGACCGCCTACACCCGCTACCAGACCCTGGAGCTGGAGAAGGAGTTCCACTTCAACCGCTACCTGACGCGGCGGCGGCGCATCGAGATCGCCCACGCGCTCTGCCTGTCCGAGCGCCAGATCAAGATCTGGTTCCAGAACCGGCGCATGAAGTGGAAGAAAGATAACAAACTGAAAAGTATGAGCCTGGCTACAGCCGGCAGCGCCTTCCAGCCCTGAGCCCTCCGGGAGGAGCCCTGGGCGGCCCAACTGCCCTCGCCGCCCCCAGCCCCAGCCCCTCAGAGCCTCCCCGTGCTGCCGCCGCCCGCTGGGGACTGGTTCCCTGGAGCCTGCCTCGCCCCGGCCTTGTGTTACGATTTTTCGTTTGGTCTTAGATCTTCCTGTGGCACTCTCTCTCCTGGACTGGTTAATCTTGTTATTATTGTTAATAATAATGATAATTATTATCCCCCCCCCCACGCTCCTCGCTCCCCTCCGCTCACCCCAAATCCACCAGTGTTTCTGAATGTTCGTGTCTGTGGTTGCACTCCTTCCTCCAGGAAGAAAAGAAACTCGCATGTTTAATGTGAACTTTCCCTTCCCCATCTTGTTCTCCTAACTTATTTATAAAAGGACGATTGCTGTATTTTGAGTTTCAGCTCGAAACTTCTCTAAGGGGCAGCAGTTAAGGTGGGGCGTTGCCGCAGTGCCGGGGCCCAGCTGAGCTGGCCTCGAGATGGAGTCCATGACTGTCTCTTTCTGCCCTCCTCTTCCTCCTCCCTCGCCACTCCCCAGGCCCAAGTCTCTTAGTGGCTTGGGCCTGAGGTTGGAAGGGGCCAGGGAGGACCAAGGGGATGGTGTTGAGAAGAGGGAAGGTATATAGTGATATTTGAGTTCCTGCCGCCTGGGTAGGCCCCACAAGGCCTGGTCTGGGAGTGTACGGAAACAAAAATAATCTTCAGTGTAAAATGTTTTGTGTATTTCTCTGTGAATCCGTGGGTCTGGCGTAGAGGGCCCAAAGCTTGTAAATATGGGGATAGTCTGGGTCAGACCCATCTCCTCCCCCCCTACCCATTTCGCTTCCAAAACATTTGTAGTGAGCGAGTGGATACTGTGCTATGTGTGAAATCTGTCTCTGCCGGACCTGTCTCAGTGATTCGCTTTTGATATTTGTTTGTAGCTTTCCTTGAAGTCAAATAAATGTTTCCCCTACTCCATTGCCCTTCCATTTGTCTTTTCTCTGGGGTGGGGGGGTGCCTGTGCCATCCCTGGGCACACCCTAGACCATTCTTGGTAGATCTGGGGTACAGGGAAGGGAAAGCAGGATGCCCACCAGCACCCGCTCCTAGCCACCTAAGTCCCTGGCTTGGTCAGCGGTGCTTGGGCCAGAGGACACAGGGCACGCTTGGGGCGTGCCTGGGGGGACTGAGAGGCCCAGAAACCTCAACATGGAGCCGGGGCAAGGAAGGGCCGAGCTGGGCTTCGCTCTGGCCTTCCACCAGCTGGTCAGCAAAGCCTCTGGAAACCTCTTCAAGGAAAGTAATTGGGGCCTAGGTCCTGAGCAGGAGGCTCCTGGCCAGCTGGGAGTGGTGCAGGCCTACCCAGCCCCCCTGTCCCCTGCTCCTCCAAATCCCAATTCAGTTCTGCCACCCATTAAGGCAAAAAAAAAAAAAAGAAGAAAGAAAGAAAGAAAGAAAGAAAGAAAAAGAAAAAGAAAAGAAAGAAAGAAAAAGGAAGAAAGAAAAGAAAAGAAAATCAGCTGGATTTCAAAGGTTTTCTCTCACCCTTAGCCTTCTCTGCACTTATCAAGCGCTCGCTGTCTCTCCAGAGGCCTAACTAACCCTCCTTCTTGATCAGGAATTGAGCTCCCTCCTGGAAGGGCCCCGGTTTCCACTCCAGGCAGAGTGGCCCGGGGCCAGGGCCCAGTCCTACACCACCCAAGTCAGCCTCCACCCTAAGCACAAGAGTCAAGTCCGGACACTTACCCGCTCATCCCTTCCAGCTTGGCCCAACTTCTTACAGGACTTGGGGGGGAGGGGGAGGCTGGTGAGGAGGCAGCCCAGGGCCTTGGAGGCTCTACTGGGCCCTCCTTCCCCCTCACCCCTTGACTTTGTCCCCCTTTGTCCATAGCAAACTATCCCAAAAGTCGCTATGACATTTAGATGTCAAATGGATAGGGGTTTTATCTCGAAGTTAGATCGTAAAAATCACCGAGAAGTCAGACAGATACCCCTCACTGGCTCGAGAAAGTCACGTGAGGTCCATAAAGTTAGTTTTATGGTTTTGGGGAGTTGACACCGCGCGGTATATTTCACATTCTCCAGAATGTTAAGTGACACTTTAACTGCTCGCTGTGGTGGGGAAGGGGGCAGAGGTAGGTGAGGGCTCTCCCAGCCCAGAAGGCGGTGGCAGCAGCAGCGGAGGCCCAGCATTCCCGCAGTAAGTGGCTTCCAGCTTTCGCTTTTCCCCCTTGCAATTTGGGGCTTGGAGCTGGGGAAGGAAAGCATGCCTCCGGCAGGGCTGTAGGATTAGTGGGTGAAATTCAGTCTGCCTTTTGCACCCAAATCTGACAAGCTGGGTGTCTGCAGTGGGGGGCGGTTACTCAGTCCGATAAGGCCTCAGCGGTTGGGGCGCCTGGTTTTTATTTGCAATAGGGTCTGACTCTTTGTGGAGAAAAGGGTTTGTGTGGGGGTTCCTTCGGTGCCCTTGGATATTTAGGGGGTAAGGAGGAGGGGTGTTGTACTGCTGAAAGAAGGCTCCCCCCTTATGGGGGCCACTTCACTGCTGGATATCTTCAGAAAGACATATCCCATCCCCAGGAAAGAAACTTTATGACAGTCATCTGTCAGGGGTGTGTGGGGTGCGCCGCTGGGCACTTTTCTTTGGATACATGTGAACCGAGCTAAAGCACGGGGAAGGGGAAGGTAGCTGCTGTGGGCTGCCTTGCGTTGAAACACTCTCCGGCTTTGAGGTCTCTGAACCCCATGGAAGGGACACCACTGATTCTCCACAGCCGCATCAGGGTTGTCCTAGATGGGGAGCGTAGCTCTTCTGCACCCCACTTCAGCCTGTTGGTCCCAAGCCAACCCTTCTGCTTGGTTCTAAGGAGTGTACTGAGTTCTGAGTGGGGAGTGGATGGGGGGGTAGTCCCCTCAAATCCAAAACCTAACTCCCGGCCAGCAGCGGGCAGAGGAAAGGAGCTTCTCCCCTTGCCTAGAGGAGTTAAATGCTTAAGTACATCCTTGGAAATCCTTCCATGGATCAAACTTGCTCAACAAAACAGGCCTCGACTGTCGGGAGAGAAAAAAAAGGGGGGACTCAGGAGCTGGTAGAGAAAATGGGAAAGGTGCTGTCTTTCCTGCCCTCCGCTCTCCTCTCCTCCCTCCACCAGATCCCTGAAAGCCCCTTTGTTCTGGGACACCACAAATCGGGGGGATTTTATTATTTGACCTTCAGGGGCTTATTTTTCCCCCCTAAGGATAAGTCACCCTTCTAAAACCTGGAGGCCTCTCCTCCACCAAACTGACCCCCAGTTTGGAGACCTGTGGGGTCAACCACCCTGTCACTCCCGCTTTTGACAGCCCACCGCCTCGCCTCTCGCTTCAGCTTCCTAACTCCTGTGGATAGTGCTTGAATTGGATGTGTGACACCTTAAGGGGCTTCTGATCTTTGGGACGAGGAGAGGGTCACACGGTTCCTGCCACTGCCCGTGAACGGACATGCCCACTCTGTCCCCCTGTCCTCTCTCTGCTGCAGCTGCTCTCTGTCCCCTGAGCTCTTCAATCCCTGCCCAGGCCTGACTTACAGGGGGCCATTCCCAGGCTTTGAGAGCCAAAAGGACATCTCCCCAAGAACGGTGGGGCATCTGTATACCTTGGGAAGGACGCTCTTCTGCCAAAAGATTCGCAGCACTGTAGAAAAGACTAATAAAGATTGCAGCCATAGCTTCCACAGGCTTCCACGCTGGGTGAGCCAACTGAGTTGAGAGAGGTGCAGGGGAAGCTGGTGCAGGGGCAGAATCCGACCTGGGCCCTCCTGGGAAGCTCCATCCCACTGTGTCCCTTGCTTCTCTCTCTCAGGAACCCCAGACCGTCATGTGCATCCCTGGAGGTTTTTTTCCCCCTCCCACATCAGTTTTGCTAATTCCAATAAAGGGTGTGTGGGGCAGGCGGCCCAGGGATATCTACTAGGCGTATCTAGACAGACCTTCCGGAATGGCAAAGAGCAGCCCCGGACTGGCAGGCGGAGTGTCCATTTCTGCTGCGGAGGCCCAAACCCTTGGAGGGTCTTCTGCTTTAAGCGGGTCCTGGAGAAGGCACCCTAGCTGGGATTTCCTCTTCCCCACTTCGGGCTCTGGGGCCAACAGTCTCCCTCGAACCCCAGCACGGACCTGTTGGGAGAGGGGATGAGAGGTGAGAAGGGGTTTCTGGCGCAAAGGAACTCTCTCCTGCCCCAGACCCACACGCTTGTCTCCTGCCTTCTTCAAACATTCTCAGGGAAAGAGAAAGCTGCTTCTCTCTCTCTCTCTCACCTTTCTCTCCTTCCTCTCCCACCCGCTTCCCCTTGGTGCAGGCCTCCACCTTCTGAGCTTCAGGCGGGCACCATCTGTTCAGATCTTCGCCCCCAGCCTCCTCGCCCAGGCACAGCCTCCACCTGGGGCAGGGCTGAGGAGGCAGCAGTGGGGCTTTAAGCCTGCAGTTTCCCTTTTCCCCCCAGAAGCCAGCCTGACGACCACTCAGTAGACAACTTGATTGTTTTGTTATATTTGGTTATTCTGTTTTGTTTTGTGTTGTTTCTTCATGGCCACAGGGTGGGAGGAAGTATAAAGAAGTGTAAACAGGAAAGCCGGCCGGGCCTGGAGTTCTGAGGGCCCATATTTCATCGGCTTCCTCTCCATAAGTGCAGCAGGGACACTTAACCCTTCCCTGCCTGGGAGAGTGTGTTCACTGGGGACTGGCGGGGGCAGGGTGTGCGGACATGCTCCGAGATGGAAGCTCCTTTCTCCGCTGGCTTCCTTTCATCTCCGAGGTCTGGATGCTGGCGTGAAGGCCAAGGATTCTGAGCAAGGGACAAGACGGCCCGCTCCGCACAGGCCCCCAAGCTCAGTCCCCTCAGGGACAGAGAGGAGAAGGCTCAAGCCATGTGCTTCCCTGCCTGGGGACCACCCAGGGCCGACCAAGGAGGGCAGAGCCGGCAAGAACCACTCCCTCCTGTGAGGGGAGAGCCCACTGGTCAATCTCTCCATTTTGGGAGAGTCTAGGAGTAATCAGATTTCAGGCTGGGATCTGCCCACAGCCGGGGTTTATCGATTACTGCGGTGCTGTTACACATCCATATTAATTAACCCAGACACCGCCTGGACGCCGAGGAGGGGGAGGGGAGAAACAGGGGCCCCTTAAGGAGTAGGGACAAACCTCTCTGAGCGTCCCTAGGTTCCAGATTGGAGAGCCCTTCCCCACAGGAACCATCGGTCTTCCCCAAGCTCAGTCTCGGCCCTTCTCAGCAGGGGTGAGACTGACTCTCTGCACTGGGAGCCCACACCAAGTCTCTTGGGGGAGGGCTTGGAATTAAAGGCCCCGAGGCCTGACTGACTTTTCCTAGTTAGAGCTAGGATGCCCCAGTCCTGCATGGGTGGAGGTCCCAGGAAATGTTCCCAGCCCAACCTTTTTAGAGTGGTGAACACCCCTCACCACCTTCCTTGGAACTTCTCCAAGGTAGAAGCTTTTTCTAGTTTGGGAGATTGTTTTGTTCGGTGTTTGGTAGTGGTGGTAGCGATGGCCTACCCCTTCCACCCACCCCTCCCTCCAAAAAGTGATTAAAATCTGTTAAAGGATTTAATTAAGAGAGTTAAATGAAAAGGAAGGAGGCGCAAATGAGTTGGGGGAAAAAAACCCACACCAAAGCTATTCTCAACGATTAAATCGCCATTTTAACAATATAATGGAGTTTGCATCCTGAAAGGGGAAATCAACGCTCATATCTCATCAATAATTCATAGAGTCTGGGATCACGCAGAGGTCAGCAGACGGGGCCGGAGAGACGGCCTACTTGGGGCTGCCAGCCGCTGCCGCATACATTACTCGCCACGGGTCGCACCTCCACCTCCACCGCCACCGCCGCCGCTCTGCTGGGGCAGGGGCATGCCGACAGGTTTAAGCGGATTTTGCGTTCTTTCATTTTGGCGAATGTATTGAGTCTCAGATT